AGAAAAAGCTTTTATTTCTTCGTGATAATATGGTCATCATACCCTTTTTGAATAACGGCCTTGAGCAATTTTTTATATTGACCCAAAGGGTTTTTTGATAATAATAAGTACGTTTCTTTATCCTCCAAAATGTTATACACTTCTTTGACATAGTCCGATTTATTTAATAATACCACTCCTCCCCCTTTGTCTGCCGGGCGTATAACTAAATCCTTCCTTTTTAATAGAGATTCAATGGCCTTTTTAGAAGGATCATGCTTATTAACTGGTTTAGCTCTAATAGCATCTAAATCCTTGAATACCATGTCTCTAAAGGTATTAATATAAGAGTTGGTCTGAGGCGGAGGATTAAAAGTAGAGGTATTCCTCAGATTAGAATTAATCCCTGAAGTATTAGTTGTATTAGGTATCGATGGTTTAGCATGAAAATACTTCTTAAGTGATAGTTGTCTCACATATTTTCTAATGTCTATATAAGTCTGAAACTTATTTAGAGTCGCTTTAGGAGCATATTTGAGACCTTTATTTAACGGTAAGGGTAGTACCACTCAAATTAAAAATACCTCCTTCACTTAAAGTTTTCTTTGGGGTTTGTGGACCCTTTTGCCTCCCCTTTTCCCTCTTCGGTGGCACTTCTTTTTTGTGCCTGGTTCCCTCCTAAAAAACCAACCGGTGTATACTTTCTGTTGGGTGGATTATTATAACCATTATGCGTATTAGGTGTCCTATTATCATTCCGATAGTAGGGCGGAGGAGGTCTATAATCCGAATTTCTCCAATAAGGGTTTCCACCTTCATTGTGCCTAGGTGAGGCATATTGGGGTCTATAGTATTGTTGTTTCTGATATGGTTTATGGCCAGAATAATTTCTGGATTGGGTATTAGGATGAGGTGGACCAGGGTGCCAATTAAGATTCCGTACACCAGCATCATCTTGTCTATAAAGTGGGTCAAACGAATTATAGGTGGGTACATTATATACATAATCTGTATCAGACCTTTGTTGGCTATAAGTCCTAGGTCCTTGTTTAGAATGTCCTTTGGACTTCCGGGATGGTCTCTGCGGTTTAGGGGTCTGATAAGTATTGTTAGTTATAGTGGCTGCTGATGTTAGTGGAGTATCATCATGTGCCGTTTGCCATTTAAAAAACAAGTTGATCATTATCTTTTAGATCTCTGCAGTATTTTTTACGTTTTTTAATCCTTTGTTCCTTTTCAAGGTTTTCCATATAAGATTTTAGTTTATTAGACTCAGCCTTATAATTCTCCCCATCCATATAGGGGGTGAGTTTATCTCGAATTTTATTAATCTTTGTGTCGAGATATTGAAGTTTCTTTTTCTTTCTTAGAATCAGAAACTTCAAAAGATCCACCCCTGCTTTATTAAAATACTGATACCATTCAACACTACCATTGATATCTTCGTATTCAGGGGGAATATCCCACCTCAAGGACCTCGGAACCATATCTTCCTTAATATATTTATCTAAAAAAGGAGATGTCCCATAATGTCCTAATCTCGGCTGAGGCTAAGTTGTGCAAGTGACCAAAAATACTTGTAAAGTCATCTGTATCATGCTCAACAGTAAATACATCTTCAGAGATACGTACTCGTGAAGATCTAATTTCAAAAATATCAGCCATACTCAAATTGGCTACTGGATAGCAGCTACTAGCAGAAAACTGGTATAGGTACAGAAATGCAAAAGATAATATGCAAGCGCTATCTGGAGATCTCAAAGCGGCTGGAACACCAAAAGGTAACCAAGAGAGAACCTTCCAATAAAGTACATAAACATATATATACAAAACCATATATAAGGTGCAGCGCTATAATAGTAAATGGCATAACATATAAAATATATAATCTGTTCGGACAGATTTCAGTGATTAATTCCTAAAGATTCCTAAAAATTACAGGCCTACAATAAAAAAAATACATATTTCCATGCAAAAAAATTTACCGCTTTGAGTACAGAAATACTGACATAATCAGACTGCTAGGGAGGTTAATGGAAGCTTCTGTCAAAGGTTCAAATGGACTGGATGTCAACACCTGTAAAACTAATGAAAAGATACCAAGAAGGGCAGGACTTCGAAGGCACCGTTCCCATTCTAGCCACTGATTTAAAGCTGTGGGAAAAACTGTAGGATCTCCCAGGAGGGAAACTTTCAGAAATGCTCCCAAGGCTGCTGCCTGTACCTTTATGGTGCTGATAGAGAGAGAGAGAGAGAGAGAGAGAGAGAGAGAGAGAGAGAGAGAGAGAGAGAGAGTCCCTTGCCTACTCCTTCCTGAAAGAAATTGTCTGAATGGAAGTCACTGTATGCCCCTTCTCCGTCATCCACAAATTAAATTTTTTCCAAATCTTAAAACAGATGGCTCTAGTAACCGGCTTACGATAGTTGATGAACATCTGAACTACCCTATCCAAAAAACCTTCCTGTTTTAACAACTGCTTCTGAGGTACCACACTGAGAGGTTTAACGTGTCCAAGCCTGGACAATGAACCGGCCCCTGTGACAAAAGATCCTCCCTTTTTGGGAGCAACACTGTAGGGCAAACTGCTAGGGATTTCAGGAGGGTGAACCAAGGGCGTTTTGGCCAGTGTGGCACTATCAGGATGAGATCCAGCTGGAATTTTTGCATTACTGCTGGGACTAATCTGTAGGGGGGAAAAGCATAAGCTAGACTGTAGGGCCATAGATTTGCCAGAGCATCTAAGGCCACTGCTGCATCCCTGGATTCATGAAGAAAAATCTCAACCTTTGCATTTGCTTGAGAGGGAAACAGGTCTATCTCTAGTTGACTCCACATATCCGTGAGCCAAGAGAAAACCTCTTCGGCCAGCAACCATTCCTCTTGATGTACCACCCGACTACTGAGAAAATCGGCCAATACATTCTGGGAACCCTTCAGGTGTAAGGCCGAGATTGATGCTAGATTAACCTCCGTGAGCATCAAGATCCTCTTCGCAATTGCAGTCACGGACTACTGGTTCCTCCCTGTTTGTTGATATAAGCCACAGTCGTACTGTTGTCTGAGAAGATTTACAAATGATGACCCTTCAATTGCACCTGAAAACTTATCATTGCCTTTTCTACAGCCAAGAGTTGCCTTTGGTTTGAGGAATATCTGGCCTCGTCCCTTGACCACTGGCCCTGGGTCAACCTTTCTTGTATGTGTGCCCCCCAACCCCATGAGGAGGCATCTGTCGTTATCCTTTGGGAAACCGGCCAGATCCACTCCTTTGGAGAGATGTGCCTCCGTTTTCCACCACCATAGAGATTGCTCAGAAGGTCTAGGGTAACCCTTGACCCAGCCCAGGCTCTGAGCAAAAGTGCAGTAGAGGCCCTCAGTGAAAACGGGCCCAAAGACCTACTGGAAAACAGACTGTCTTGAGACCTAATACTGCCGAAATCTCCCTTACGGGAACCGGAAGATTTGATTACAGCTGCGCTATCCGGTACGTCACTTGGTCTAGTTTGCAGGGAGAAATTTTTTGAACTGTCGAGTATATGATGTACCCCAAGAATCTTATAGACTGACATGGCTCCAGATTCGATTTTTCCCAATTGATCACCCATCCTAGTGCCTGAAGGTGCTTCTGGATAAACTTTAGATCTATCCACAACTGCTCTTCGGAGGAAGCCACTAATAGGAGATCTAAATAAGGAACTACTGTATCAAAATGCCCCTTATCTCAGTGGAGCCAGCGTTTCTCCCAGGACTTTTGGAAAAAATCTGTGGGGCTGAAGACTGAAAGGGAGTGCTCTGCACTGTCAGTGCAGAACTTTCTCTTTCAACCTGATGGCCATTCTCAGGTACCTCTGAGAAGAGGGATGAATGGGTACATGAAGGTATGCATCCTTCAGATCTAAAGTCACCATAAAACACCCTGCCACAGAATGTTCCTGAGAGAGTATATTGACTCCATACGAAAATGTTTGTACTTTGACTTGCTGAGCGGTCGCAAATTCAGGATTAGGCAAAATTTGCTTGAGGGTTTTTTTCCACCACAAAAACGTGAGAATAAAATCCCTGACCCCTCTTCTTTCGGAACTGGGACTAAGACCCTCTGATCTACCATCTTGCAAGCACAATGCACTTGCCTTCTCCCAATCCCAAGAAACATTCGTGATCAAGTATCTTGGGGGGGGACAAGGTATCGAACTCCAGCTTGTAACCCTGACTTATCAGAAGGATAAAAACGGACTGGAGGTGATAGACTCCCAAGCTGTGACGAAGGTCTCCAATCTTCCTCCCACTGGGAGAAAGGAGTAATTGGGTCTTAGAGGGGGGTTGAGGAGAACTAAACAAAATTCCTCTTTTACCCTTACCTTTGTTGCCTCCCCAACACTTCCTTGGCCTGGCCTCTTTACCTTGTTTGGCTTGCTGCCTTTGGCCACAAAAAAGTCGCCTAAAACCTGGCGCTCTTTTTTTTTTTTCTGGGAAGGCCTTCTTATCAGCCGTGCGCTCTAGCACCTCCTGCAGGTTCTCTCTTGTAAAGGGCAGCGCAAACAAATCGAGCCTTGGAGGAGAAATCACAGAACCTAGTTTTAAGACAAAGTGATCTCCTAGTGGATTTTACCAGAGCTGTTGATCTAGCTGCAATTCTTACTGCTTCCGCAGAAGAGTCCGCTATAAAAACCAAAAGCTTTAACCATTTCAATACCGGGCACCTTCCTGCCCAGGCCATTTTTCACGTTTCAGCGCTCTCACACTTTGAATGACAATTGCGCGGTCATACAACATTGTACCCAAACTAAAATTTTATCATTTTCTTCACACAACTAGAGCTTTCTTTTGGTGGTATTTAATCTCCGCTGGGGTTTTAATTTTTTGCTAAATTAACAAAAAAAGACCTTGTGGGGTAACGCGTTTCCTGTCCCGTGAAAGGAGCTCTATGTCTCATGGGGTGTCCTGGAAGATGACTTGGGGAATAAAATTTGCTCTTGTTTGTATCAGTTTGCACAGTTAAGGGGGGAAATATATCAAATACCTTGTCAGGGGAGCTGTGCCTTCTGCTTGACTCCAGCCTGGAAAGGTTTTGCGAGCTTGCTCTCAGATTAAGTGTTCTCTCCAGTTTCTCCAACTCGGCTTTATAATGATTCCGCTCTTCTTCTAAAGTCTTAACGAAAGAGTCCATCCTAGAAGGCGAGCGATCAGTACGCAAAATACCATACTGTGTCCTCATCCTCTCTGCTTCTAGCACAAGCTCTCGTTCTGAAAACAGCAAAACATAGTTCTTGTTTTTACAGAACTTTAACATGAATTAATATATAAAATAAAGCCTTATTGGGCTTACCTGTTACCATCTGTTTTTCAAGTTTGCTAGAAAGCCGCTGCTTCTCATTTTCCAAGTGGTTCAAGAGGGATTCTAATTTGCGACTTTCTTCTTTTCTAATTTCTAGCTCATCGGCAAGTTTGTTTTTCTCAAATTCACAAGTGTTAAGGTCCTATCAGAAATCAAACTTCATTAAAATTGATTAAATTTTCATAAACCATGTTTAAAAAAAAAAAAAAAAAAAAACGGAAAATATAAATATTTAAAATTTTTCAGAAACAAATGGATTTAATGTTTCATGACTTGGTATTTTACTTCACAAAACCTTCTGAGCGTTTTCATGAAACGGTTTGCAAAGCATGAAGTGCTTTTTTTTTTTTTAGGCCCAGGACTGCTATTTCACTTGTTGATCCTCCCAGTCTAAAAATCTACATGGATCAGTATCTGCTAGTGAGAGTAAGGAGGGTTTGCCCTTCCTATCACTCACATCTGTGAATGGGCTGGACCCCAATTACGTGCAAGAACGCCAAAGCGGGTTCCTAGCAATTAGCTGTGGGGGGGAGCCTGTGTCCAGAGCCCATCACTCGCAGGTTACCTCTGCATGAAAGGTTACATGCGAGTGATCGCGATTAGCTGCGGGAACCGGCAGGCTCTGACTGCCTTCAACAGAGCTGCTCACGCAGCTAAATGCCGGGGACCCCCGTTGGTGTCACAGATATGAATGCAGCTTTGTTCAGCTGTTCGTAAATTGATTATTTAGACCTCTTTACAACATAGGCTATTACTGCATGGTGGCAGGTTGTGCGAGAGAAAACTTGAAGCTGCAGCTTTAAACTTGCCGGCCAGTCACATACCTGGTATGTCACTGATCTTCAAGTGATTGTACCGGTGATCGGCTCCCTTGTAATAGCGATTGGAATGGCAGACTAGCCTCTTGATTGCTATTACAAGCAGCAGGAGGGGGATGTCCACCCCGCCACCTTCCACCACTTGCTCGGGCTCTGTTCCACTGGACGTGCTGGCTGGCCGGACAAAGCCAGATTTGATTGGCTCTCTGCTATAATAACCTGGGAGCGATAACCTGGCATCACTTCGGGGTTACCTGAATGTAAACAGTGCCATTTTTTAAAAAACTCAAAAGCATTCAAAAAAATGCTTTAAAGTGCAAAGGCCCCTCCATAAATAGTACCGGTCACATGTCAGGATGTTTACATTCCTTGTGACAGCAATAACAGTGATAAAAAAAAAAAAAAAAAGACAAAAACAAAACCACCTCATTCACATGGGGAAGGGGTGCCGGGATCTAGGGGCCCCCTTGTTAAAGGAGGTTTCTAGATTCTGATAAGCCCCCCGCCCACAGACCTCCATAACCAGCGGCCGTGGTTGTGGGGCAGAAGCCCTTGTCCCCATGGGGACAAGGTGCTTTGGGGGAGGTAGGCAGAGCCCCCCCTGCCCCAAAGCATCCCCCTCCCATATTGGGGGCATGTGGTCTACATTGGGGGGGGGGTGCATGTTACGCTCCCCCCCCCTTTCCAGACAGGCCTGCATGATCAGATTAGGGTCAGAACTGGGGCTTTTTATATCTCAGCACTGCACTCTCAGGTACAGTAGATGTCTTAAGCCTAAGAGACTTGTTTAGGAAGATTTGTCCTTCAAATTAAAAAGTTTTGGACCAATATAAGAAAAATGTAAAAGACTGCTTAAATAATAATTTACAAAGATATGTACTACCCCAGCAGCACAGAACATGTAATCCATGTTCATATATTTTAAGATGGATTTACTTACAGATTTGTACTGTGCCAAAGTGCTTTCAAGTTTATGGACATCCATCTGTAGTCTCTTTATTTCATTCTAAAATATAAAAATGCATTTAATTATATTAAATTAAAAGCACTTGCTCAGATACCACTATTTTCATACTTCCAGACCCAACACCCCATGAAGGGCCCTGGCCACCTGATAATAAGTACAACATATATTCAGGTTTCTATAGATCAATGATCTTCAGCTCCATACACACACTTTAGTGAACACAAACTCTTTCCTTGGGTGGGGAAAGGTAGGATTGTCTTAATCTTCAAGATTATGACAGATACATATATATATATAAAATCTTTACTCTTTATACACTTGTGACTGCACTCCCTGCTTTACTTCTCTACAAATAGTATCATAAAGTTTGCAGAATATCAAAGGAGGGGTTAAAGAGCACTACAGGAAGAAGGTCAGTAGGATGTGGTGGTGGATGTGGTGTGTGGAAAACAATCTGTCGATAAACACAGGAAAAACTAAAGGAACTGATTAACAAGAAAAAGATTGACCTGGCACCACTTTTCATTAAATGTGAACTGGTGGAGCGAGTTCCTGCTTTTAAGTTCCTAGGAATTTAGATTTACAAAAACTTAACATGGTCAATGAATATTAATGCTGTTAACAACAAATCTCAGCAACGTTTATACTTCCTGAGACTTCTCAGAAAAAATGGTTTAAGTAAAAACAATTTACACCAACAGAAAAGGCTGCTCTTCAGAAAAAAAAAAAAAAAAAAAAAAAGAAGAAGTACTGCACAGTACGTTGCGGGCTGTAAACTTGTCTTTTTGACAAAATGTATCAGTCCTGTTGTGTCTGCAGAGCAAAAAGAAAAAGTGAGTGATCTGTCCCATCCTGGACATAATCTTTTTGAATTATTGCCATCGGGTAGATGGTTCAAAAACATACAGGCTAGAAAAAATAGATTTAGGGAGAGTTTCTAAGAACGAATAAGGCTATGAATGGAGAAATGAATTCGTTGTGGGGACTTGTTTAACTTACAGCAGTTTCTCACCCCTTTTTTAGTCTGTATGGTTTTTAATGAACATGGACTAATTTTTATTCATGTACAGTGCATGTATTTTATTGGGAATTTTTGTGATAGACCAACATAAAAGTGGCACATAATTGTGAAGTGGAAGTAAAGTTATAAACAGTTTTCAAAATGTATTTACAAATACATATCTGAAAAGTGTGGTGTGCATTTGTATTCAGTCCCCTTTACTCTAATACCCCTAATTAAAATCTAATGGATTACCTTCATATATCACCCATTTAGTAAACAGAGTCTACTTGTGTGTAATTTAATCTCAGGATAAATACAGCTGTTCTGTGAAACCCTCAGAGGTTTGCTAGAGAACATTAGTGAACAAAACAACATCATGAAGGCCAAGGAACACACCAGACAGGTCAGGGATAAAAGTTGTGGAGACATTTAAAAGCAGGGTTAGGTTATAGAAAAATATCCCAAGCTTTGAACATCTCAGAGAACATTGTTCAATCCAAAAATGGCACAACTGCAAACCTACCAAGACATGGCCGTCCACCTAAACTGACAGGCCTAGCAAGAACAGCAATAATCAGAGAAGCAGCCAAGAGGCCCATGGTAACTCTGGAGGATCTGCAGAGATTCACAGCTCAGGTAGTACCATTTGCAATTTGCGAGAAGCCATGTGGGGGACACAGCAAACATGTGGAAGAAGGTGCTCTGGTTGGATTAGACCAAAATTGATCTTTTTGGCCTAAAAGTAAAACACTATGTGTGGCGGAAATCTAAAATACTGCACATCACCCCGAAAACACTATCCCCACAGTGGAACACAGTGGTGGCAGCATCATGTTGTGGGAATGGTAATCTTCAGCAGGGACAGGGAAGCTGGTCAGAGTTGATGGAAAGATGGATGGAGCCAAATACAGGGAAATCTTAAAAGAACACCTGTTCGAGTCTGCAACAGACTGGGGTGGAGGTTCACCTTCCAGCAGGACAACGACCCTAAACATACAGCCAGAGCTACAATGGAATGTTTTAGATCAAAGCATATTCATGTGTTAGAATGGCCCAGTCAAGTCCAGACCTAAATCCAAGATTCTGCGGTAGATGCTCTCCATCCAATCTCACAGAGCTTTAGCCATTTTGCAAAGAAGAATGGGAAAAAAGGTCACTCTCTAGATGTGCAAAGCTGGTAGAGACATCCCCAAAAAGACTTGCAGCTGTAATTGCAGTGAAAGGTGGTTCTACAAAGTATTGACTTAAGGGGCTGAATACAAATGCATGCCACACTTTTCAGATATTTATTTGTAAACAAATTTTGAAAAACTATCATTTTCCTTCCACTTCACAATTATGTGCCACTTTATGTTGGTCTATCACATAAAATCCCAATAAAATCCATTTACGTTTTTGGTTGCAACATGACAAAATGTGGAAAATTTCAAGGGGTATCAATACTTTTTCAAGGCACTGTAAAGGAGTGTATGATTATAGGAGAGCATGTTTGTTGTTTTTATATTTAACAAAACGTAGGCAGTTTTAAGAAGAAATGTCACTGTAGTTTGTTTTGTATGACAATAAAATATTTATCCAATTTATCTATTATCTCACATTAGTTGGCAGATTCATGTTCTGAGGGTTACCCCTGTAGTCAATACTATATATACATAACTGTTCATACAAGGAGGAAGATTATCCAATGGATGTGCAGTTTTCAGACTGTTCTGCAACTGTTTTGTCTGCTAATGGTTCTCCTTTTTTTTTTTTTTTACACTATGAATGTTTGCTTGCCATACTGATTTCCACCAACTGACAAACTGCTTTTTTCAAAAGTTGCTGTGTCTGTCCATTTCTTCCTGGGACACTGGGGGGCAGTGATGTTATCACATTCTTAATGTATAGTATAACGGATAGTATAACCATAGTATAACGGATGAGGCATTACAAACATGTGTAAATGCAAACTTTTCCACAAAATAAGCTACAGATTTGAATGCATAAATTATTTAAATTCCAGGCATATACATTAAAAACACAATTATTACATTGTATAGAAAATGTTTCACTAACTTATCCCAGAGGATTGCTTTGGGAGATGTGCTCAAGTGTTTAATTTACATGCAGTGTTAAGAACCCTAAAGACAGAGAATATTTTGCCCAATGTAACTGTAACCTCTAAACTCCTGAAATAATCAGTGAGCATAGCACTGTCCTTCCATCATGACTTTAGTGGGCAGATGCATGTTTGTGGAACACTCTCTAATTTTAAGCAATCAATTATGATTAGTAAACTCCCATAGTGATATTCAAATTCTCCTACTTCAGATATAGATCAGTGTCACCAACCTTTGCTTCTTCAATCTCAGCATCAGCAGTCTCTAGTGCCATTTCTTTGTCTCTCTCTAGTTGCTGTGCCATCTGGTCGATCTCTGACAGCTCTTTACAGAGTTCCTCATTCTTGCTGCTTAGGTTCAACACCTCACTGGTCACATTCTGTCGTGTTTCCAGCAGCTCTTGTACACGTTTTTCAAGGTCTCGGTTAGCTTGCTGGAGGTACTCAATCTGCAAAACATTCATTATTATGCAATGATAAATCTCATTTTCTAAGGCAAGTCTGAAAATGCTAGCAAAGGCCAGGGACTTTTGTTTACTAAAAACTATTTAAACAGCATATCAGTGGCTCATGCCTATCACTCTATATAAAAATCAGCACAGCAAAACGATTTGAGGTAATAATTCTAAAAGACACAGATGATCTAATCATTATACAATGAATTCTTTGATAACAAACTGGCATCTTATGTATAAAGATAGTAGGCCCTGCACCTGGCCATGTATATTATGCGCACAAGTGAGTGCACACTGCTCAAATAGGCAATGATCCTGCATATTGCACAGTGACAGCATAAACCTGAAGTGCATAACACTGTGCAGGGAGTGCTACAGTGAGCGATAGCAGCAGCTCACTATACTGCACCTTCTCTTCTCTCAGGAAAGTGATCACCAGGGGGAGACCAAAGCGCACACACCAGAGCAGCCTGTCCCCCTTTGGCGAGTGTCCATCTGCATACCCATCAAATGAAACTTGCTGCCTGCCTCCTCTTATCTACTTTGATAGGCACAACGAGGAGGGAGAAGACAGCCTCTGGTGGCTCAGGCTCCCTTTCGTAAGCTTCTGTAAAAAGGTGCTTAACAGAGGCAGTCAGTCCAATGTGCACATCTGCACCTAGTCAGACCAGACACATCTGCAGCCAATATCTGCACTACATTAGTGGACAGGTAGATTATTTTTCCTTCACAAAAAACACCCAAGGCATTAAAATACCCTAATAGGAAACTGGCTGCAAGGCAACCCAGAAGTTTGACTGCATGCTGGACAAACACGGGCCACTGCTCTAACTTTGACACCAAGTAGTCAAGTGAGTTATCTATTGTTAAGGTTTCCGTATCTGCCCTCAACCCCCTGTAACTCAGTGACCATATGAGTTATGCACTGCCTGAGATTTCTGCCAGCAGATAGGCCTGGGCAATGCATCATGAAGACCTGAAAGCTTTGTTTAGGCAGCCACTGCTGATCAATTTAATTGCCATGAGTATTCAAGGCATGCTGACCATGAAAGTTGATCTTGCCACTCTCTACGAAAGCAATCAAGAGGTTCATCTGCAGCACCTCCTGCAGATGCTGCATTATGCTCCCTCTGTGAGGGCAGGATGAGCTCTGGCATTTTCCCTTATAACATGAATCCAAAAAAGATGGACAAGCAGTAATGGTCCAACTCCTGGGGTCCTTGCATAAGCATTGTAGCAAGAATAAGCCCATCCACCACCACCCATTTAACCTTAATTCCGGAGGATCCACCAAATGTGTGCGTTTAAGGAGACTCTATGAATCACTGAGCATGGATGCATGGCTTCAGCCAACAGCTCAATTGCCATTGCAAATAGGTGAGGCAACAAAGGGTACCCCTGCCTTTTGCCTCTAAAAAAATTCAAATGGTTCAGAGATGGTATAATTTATTACAAAATGGGCTAAGGGCTTAGAACATAAAAGTTCGACCCATGCAACAAAATGAGGACTGAAACCAAATTTTAACAGCATTACAAAACAGGTTTTGTGAGCCTCCGAAGCATCATCAGAGATGGGAACATAGCGCCAAATTATCTTCAGCCAACAGAGGTGGCATTTTTGGGTCCAGAAGATTTTTATGTTGCTCAATATTTGCACAGAAGATTCACTATCACTATTGGTCCTAGGGACCACTGCATAGAAGTGATAGAAAAATTTTTAAATTTGAGTTGCCACTGAAAGAGCAATAGAAAGGAAATTTCTCAATAGGGACACCAGTTCCAGTATCAAAAGTGTAAGAATAACTACTTTAAAAATTTAAAAAAGTGGCTGTAAAAATTCTTCAAAATAGGGCTGAACACTTATTAAATACTGACAGAACCATTAGTAGTATGTGAGTTGGAGACAACTGGACCCAACCTCCCACTGTCTAGAATCAAACTTGTTGCAAATGCAGTAAGGTAACTTATAGGGTCAGGGTAAAAGGCAATGCCTCAGGTACTCAGAAAACCTGGACAGCTGGTGGTAGCAGAAAAAGGTCAGATGGCTGGAGTTCCCCAAAATCACTGTAGGTAGTTACATCAAAGTTCCACGTGTCTCTTTGCAAGCAGGAGTCGTAGAGATGCTTCTTCAATGCTGTATGATGGGAAAGATAGCGTGGGGTGCACTCCACTCCACCCAGTAAATAGGTCAGTGCTCAACTGTACAGTGTTAGCCCCTTCTGCAACAAAACTTGGGAATAATGGTTCCCAGAACCTTACATTAACCACTTGCCTACCAGGCACTTATACCCCCTTCCTTACCAGGCCAATTTTCAGCTTTCAGCGCTGCCGCACTTTGATTGACAATTGCGCGGTCATGCAACATTGTACCCATATGAAATTTTGATCATTTTTTTCTCACAAATAGAGCTTTCTTTTGGTGGTATTTAATCGCCACTGGGCGCTTTACTTTTTGCGCTATAAATAAAAAAAGTGCAAAAAATGTGAAAAAAAAAAAAAAAAAAAAGTTTGTTTCTTTTATAAAATTTTTCAAACAGGTATTTTTTCTCCTTCACGGATGTGCGTTGATGAGGCAGCACTGATGGGCACTGATAAGCGGCACTGATAGGCAGCACTAAAGGGCACCGATAGGCAGTACTAACGAGGTGGCACGGATAGGCGGCACTGATAGCACTAATTAGGGGTCACGGATAGGCGGCACTGATATGCAGCACTGATAGGTGACACTGATTATGGGTACTGATAGACGGCACTGACTGGCATCACTGCTGGGCACTGACTGGCGGCACGGACTGGCACAACCCCTGGGCACTGACTGGTTTCACTGGTGGGTGGCACTGGTGGGGGGCACAGGTGGGTGGCACTGCTGGGCACATGTAGGTGGCACTTCTGGGCACAGGTGGGGGCACTGCTGGGCACGGGTGGGCGGAGCTAGTGGGCGCACTGCTGGGCGGAACTTGCGGGTGTCACTGCTGGGCACCGATCATCAGGGCACTGATCATCAGTGCCCTGATGATCGGTGCCGATCCCTGCTCTGACAACTGCCGGTTCTCGGCAGTACTTTCCTCACGATCTGACAGCGTGAGGAAAGTGCAGCCGAGAACCGGCACTTGCATTTCCCTGTGATCAGCGTGTCATTGGACACCCCTGATCACGTGGTAAAAGGCCCCTGTGATTGGCCTTTTACCACATCACGTGATCAGCTGTGTCCGTAGGACACAGTGATCACGGAGATCGCCGGGTGCGCGCCCCCTGGGGCGCGCAGGAGAGCGCGTTCTGGGAGAACGTCATATGAGGTCCACCCAGAACTGGCCGGCCGCGGTGAAGCCGTCATTTGGCTATGCGCGGTCGGCAAGAGGTTAATGAAGAAGCTTCTGAAACTTAGCCTGACCAGTCTATTCACCAAGTGAGTTTTCATAGACAGGGCAAGACAATGTCAGCTGCTGTAGACCCTGCAGCTAACACAAAGTGCCCTTACATACCCAGGGCCAGAAGACCTCTCTCCTGGCTGGCACTGACCAGTAGAGCCCTAGCCCTTTAGACTTCCATGGGGCTCTACTTGCAGTGCTGGATGTAAACAATGCTCAAAGGTCATGGGTGTCAGATCTAGATAAGTATGCATCTGTGGAGAGGGAGATCTGTAAGGTTGGAGGGGGGGGGGGGGAAATGCACTTATTCTTTCATGGCATACCTCAATGAATTTGACTAATAAAAAAAAACAAAAAAAAATAAAACAAAAACAAAAAAAAAAAACAAAAAAAAAAAAACAAAAACACACCTCTTGGGACAAAGTAATACCTGAAGGTTTAGATGGGCCACATGTTTCTCATTACTTCTGTATCTAGATTCCAGAGAAATTACATCATGCGATCGTCCTCCATCCAGTGCTAATGCCAACCGCTCTACTTCTTTGTCTCTTAATTCAACCTATGATGAAATATAAAGACCTTAACCATTAGAGTACATTACCAGATTATAGAGAGCTGGCTAAGAGAATGTCCATTAAAAATATCTGCTAAACACAATTCCTTACTTCAGCCCATTCATAAAAATCTCTCTACTAATCAGCTTAATTGATCATGTGGGTGATCGATTTTAACCTATACACTCTACAGAAATGGCTAAGGGTAAGTCACTAGACATATGAGCTCCATCACAAACAATTTTCTAGCAGTCAGTAGTAGGTAACATTCAAAAAACGATACTGCATGTAAAATGGTCAGGAAGGATACAACTTTAGGAAAAGATAAACCACATCACTAGTGGTTGATCAGGTAGTAAAGCAGTAAATAAAAAGAAAGAAATCAAAAACATAAAAGGTAACACAAAAACATGAAATTTCTAAAGTCCTTTCAAAAGGAATGAGAATTGTTTCAATGTTCCAATTGTTGTAGCTTTTTTTTTTTAACTTTGTGAAATGTGTTTTTTTTTTTTTTCACCAGCCTTCTGCTGAATATAGACATTTATGGCATCGTTGTGCATACAGTTTTATAGTTTGCTAAGATGTTGTCCAACCACTGAAAAATCCTTGTTATCCAGAGGTTCACTAATATTACATAAGCTTGGGGTCAGTCTGTTATTGAAGCTCAACATTTTCCCCAACACTTTCATGTGATATAACTTCCACTTTAGTTTCCTAAAGTTGCTGTACAGGTGAAAGTCGAAAAATTAGAATATCGTGCAAAAGTTCATTTATTTCAGTAATGCAACTTAAAAAGTGAAACTAATATATGAGATAGACTCATTACATGCAAAGCAAGATAGTTCAAGCCGTGATTTGTTATAATTGTGATGATTATGGCTTACAGCTCATGAAAACCCCAAATCCACAATCTCAGAAAATTAGAATATTACATGCAATCAATAAAACAAGACTTGTACATAGAACAATATCGGACCTCTGAAAAGTATAAGCATGCATATGTACTCAGTACTTGGTTTGGGCCTCTTTTGCAGCAATTACTGCCTCAATGCGGCGTGGCATGGAAGCTATCAGCCTGTGGCACCGCTGAGGTGTTATGGAAGACCAGGATGCTTCAATAGCGGCCTTCAGCTCTTCTGCATTGTTCGGTCTCATGTCTCTCATCTTTCTCTTGGCAATGCCCCATAGATTCTCTATGGGGTTCAGGTCAGGCAAGTTTGCTGGCCAATTAAGCACAGTAATCCCACGGTCACTGAACCAGGTTTTGGTGCTTTTGGCAGCGTGGGCAGGTGCCAAGTCCTGCTGGAAAATGAAGTCAGCATCCCCATAAAGCTCGTCTGCGGAAGGAAGCATGAAGTGCTCCAAAATCTCCTGGTAGACGGCTGCGTTGACCCTGGACTTAATGAAGCACAGTGGACCAACACCAGCAGATGACATGGCTCCCCAAATCAACACAGACTGTGGAAACTTCACACTGGACTTCAAGTATCGTGCCTCTCCATTCTTCCTCCATACTCTGGGTCCTTGGTCTCCAAATGAGATGCAAAAGTTGCTCTCATCAGAAAAGAGGACTTTGGACCACTGAGCAACAGACCAGGTCTGTTTTCCTTTAGCCCAGGTAAGACGCTTCTGACGTTGTTTGTTGTTCAGGAGTGGCTTGACAAGAGAAATACGACATTTGAAGCCCATGTCCAGGATCAGTCTGTGTGTGGTGGCTCTTGATGCACTGACTCCAGCCTCAGTCCACTCCTTGTGAAAGTCCCCAACACTTTTGAATGGCCTTTACCTGGCAATCCTCTCCAGGCTGCGGTCATCCCTGCTGCTTGTGCACCTTTTTCTTCCACACTTTTCCCTTCCACATAACTTTCTATTAATGTGCTTTGATACAGCACTTTGGGAACATCCAACCTCTTTTGCAATTACCTTTTGAGGCTTTGCCTCCTTATGGAGGGTGTCAATGATGGTTTTCTGCACAACTCTCAGGTCAGCAGTCTTTCCCATGATTGTGATTCCTACTGAACCAGACTGAGAGACCATTTAAAGGCTCAGGAACCCTTTGTAGGTGTTATGGCTTAATTAGCTGATTAGAGTGGGACACTTTGAGCCTAGAATATTGCACCTATTCACAATATTCAAATTTTCTGAGATTGTGCATTTGGGGTTTTCATGAGCTGTAAGCCATAATCATCGCAATTATGACAAATCACGGCTCGAACTATCTTACTTTGCATGTAATGAGTCTATCTCATATATTAGTTTCACCTTTTAGGTTGCATTACTGAAATAAATGAACTTTTGCATGATATTCTAATTTTTCAAGTTTCACCTGTATGTTAATTGCAGTTTTTATGATCTACCAAATACTGTATGCCATATCTGACAAAAAATGTTTTGTTTATGGCCAATATCCATTATGTACATGTATGAAATATATATACATTTCAGAGTGATGCAAACCTTCTGCGTGAGTTGGTTAACTGCTTTTTCAGAGGTGTCCAGCTTTTCTTGTAAAGAGGCCGTGTCCTGCTGAAGTTCCCGAATTCTGAAAATGTACAAAAGTGTATTTTAATTATATGCCAGTTTGAAAGGATCGCTTTATATTGAATTATACTTTTGAGCAGATTGCATATTGCAGTAAGATCATTTAAATTTTCATTCCACTGAAAAGTCTGCTATTTGGAGTAGAACAAAAAAGGACAGACCTATCATCGGCAACTTGCAGCAGATCAGCAACATATGGATCTTCTGGCTGAGGTACAGGGTGGCTGTTCATTCCAGATGGTGGGACGGGTTGGTCAATCTGCATGCGCTGACGCCTAAATGGAATGTTTCTCTTTTTTCCACCTATAAACATTAAAAAATAATTGTAGCATGTAATTTGGTATGCCTAGCTTTGGCAAACACAGTAAAGCGTCATTTAGGTGTGCAGTTGGGGGTAGCAAAAATGTGCGGTTGGGCCGCGTTTCTGCCGTCCACCAACTGCCCCCCTCTTAAGCTGCAATAGGCAGCAGGCCTCGTAACATGTAGGTTTATCCAACATGTAGTGGTCTTTGGGCAGCAAGCCTGAATGTTACACACTCAAGCAAGTGGGGAAGCGCCGCAAACTCCCCATAACCGCATGCAAGACAGAAAGCAAAATTCTTCCTCCTTGCTGGCATCTTTTACATCTAGGAATAACTGCTACGCACATATGGGCTTCTGTTTGTTGTCAGATGTTCTCTGACTTCTTTCCTCCCCACCGAGTACATTCTTTGAAAGGTGCACATTGCACTAAATTTCCATAGGAGGAACACATGTGGCACCGATTTAGGCCTCCCTATTAGAGGAGACCAGAAATCACCCATTATTATTCCACTAGTACAGCGTCTACAAACTGTGAAACTGTAGTATCATTGCAGATTTGTGCACTCTCTCATGGCCGCCAAAATAAACAAAAAAAAAAACAAGCTTGCTTTAATCCCTTGATGTTTATGAGCATACCTTGAATATACATTCATAATAAGAGAGGATAACTGCATAATAAAGCCAACCTTACTTGTAATAAAATCTCAGGTTAAGCCTAGCCCCTATTCCTGAGGACCTGGGCCTTACAGCCATGGCAATAAAGCCAACAATGTGAACTAGGGTGGAAAACAGGTCCTTGAGACAAATGATCCACTCAACCTAGAAGAGCTCATGGACAGTCTTGCCAGGACGTCTGAAAATCACATATGCATGGGACAGTTCGATGTGATGAGTGGCACCAGGATACCCTCTGTATAATTTCCGAGAAGTAGATGAGGAAGGGGCTTCAGAGGAGAAAAGGAGTAGATCAGGCTAAAATGATTCCACACCAGATTTCACCAGAACATCCACAGCTATCTTAGCAGGTCACTGGACGTGGAGACAGGCTTGGTCAGTTTTCTGTTTAGTCTGGAAGCCGGAAGGTCCTAGTCTATGTTCCCCTCGTGCAGCAAAGGTCTTAACAACATCAGGACTTGGGGGAGTGGTGTTTTGACTGAAGGAATCAGCTTGACAGATTTTAATGTCTGGAATGTGCACGGCATGGTGGACAATGGTGGAATAAATTGTTCTTCTTAAGGTAAAATCTTGTCAGTTTCTCTTGAGCTGCAAGACTTATGGTTCTCTCCCTGATGGTTGATGTATGTCACAAAAGTGGCATTGTCCAACTGAATCTGGGAGATAATCATTTTACAAAAAAAACAGTGAACTTTCGTTGTAGCTATGTGAATAGTTACATTCACACACTACACATGGTCACAGTACAGGCAGGCCCCACATCCTCTTAATGTAATCTGGCCACCAAAAGGGATCATACCACAAATAAAACCAAAAGGGAACTATTTTGGCTCTGCAGTTAACAGATAAAAAAAAAAAAAAAATAAAAATACATTCTTGATAAATAGGAAAGATGGTTGACATTTCTCAGACAAGAAAAGATGATCAGTTTCTTGCTAGTTTTCTAGGAGAATCAAGTAGGATGGGAATGGTTATGTTATGGGTTTTTTTTTTTTTTGCCAAAGTCCAATTCCTGAAGGTAGCAGTATAAACCCATATATCTCAGAACGCCATCTATGGCGTCACTTTAAAAAGTGAAGTCCAGTTGGTTCCCTCCCTACCTAATTTTAATTGGTACCTGCCCCTACTTCCACAATACTCACCTAGAATAGCATGATGCTCTATGCCCTGCTCCCTCCTGGGACACTTCACATGTCCCAGGAAGCTGCACGCCATGCACAAAGCGCTGCATGAGTTTTCACATATGCAAAGGGTGGCAGGCTGTGGTTCACCAAGAAAGCCACACCTGGCTCTCAAATCCAAGGTGGCGGTGCCAGCAATCCACAGCTGTAAGAAGAATCGGCTGCTGGAAGACAGCAGCTACAATAACTTTTCCTCTTTAATGAATAATTAGCAAAAAAGGTTTACAGACACAAAAAAAAACAGACACACAATCATAAGATATGTTTCCAACTGGCAAACTCTTACCTGGTGTTTGTACTACAGCTTGAAGGTTCTTTTCTTGCAGCTGCTGAATCCGTTCTGTTTTAGCTTTACTCTCCTTTTCCATTGACCGGATCTTATGGACATACTGGTTATTTAAAAATTTCAGGTCAGCTGTCTGGTGTTCAAGTTTTCTTAGAGAAGCTTTCAAGTCTTCAAGAAAATAAAACAAACAATCAAGGAAATAAAGGAACAATATATAAAACAAGCATTCTATAAACATCACTGCTGACTTCCTTCTAATGATAGCTGTGTCATCTCTGGACATGCCTTCCTGATTAAGTTAATTGGAATAAGCATGCAGCCAGTGAAGTTAGGACGTTGAAATCTACATGCACACACTGGTTCAATGACTCATGCACAGAAAGAAACCAGGAGACCAGCCAAAAACACATACACACGTGAAAATTGGAGAGGTTACCCAAAACAGTCAGATGTCAGTTGTGCTTTTTTTTTCTGGTGTAGTTTACAAAAACAGGATTTTTGTGCTTGCTGTAAAATCTATTTGTTGTAGTTCATTGGAGGGGCACAGAAATTTAGATACCATCAGGATATACTGTACAGGAAGATTGGACAATTAAATAAGTTGTAGTCCAGCCCCAAAATAATCCCTCCTCTGTCTATGACTCCTCAGTTTGTAGAAAGCAGGACCAAGTGCATGAACAGAAACACAGAGGTGGAGACTGCCCTAAGAAAGAAAAGGGTTTTACAATACAAAAATCCTATTTTATTTCCCATCCACTAATGGGCACAGGAATGCAGATACGGTTGAAGCAAAAAAAAAAGAAAGAACGAAAAAAAGAAAAAAAGAAAAAAAAAAAAGTCAGTCCAGTTGAGGGGTGAGTAACGCAGCAATAATTATCCACAGGCTCATTTGAAAAACTGACCTACCTACAACCCAAAAGCTGCCCTAAGGATAAAGAACAGAATCTGATTGTATGAGGCCAAACCCCAAACCGGGTCCTATCCACACGACCAGAAGAAGGACATGATTAATAAAAATTTGTTCCTCAAGACCAATGACTGTACCAAAAATAAAACAAATTCTGGCAAGGGGAAGAAGACCTACTACATGATGTGGTCAACAGAAAAAAAAATATTAACGCTTAGAAAAACTCCAAGAAGGGACCAATGACAACAGCTTCAGGTGATTAGACCAGCCAGTCTACAAGGAACGTCTCAAAGCCATTTTAACCCGTGACACCTTATGATCAAAAGGCGCAAACAATTTGTGCCAAAGAAGGTTGCCTAACCAGACAACTATGCTTGCAAGGTGAAACTCAACAGGTTAAACATGCAACAGCAAAACGCACAATAAATTACCATGGGTCTGAAGTACCTCTCTAGATACACAAAAACTCATGGGTTCGATCACACAAAGTCACTGAGACTGAAGGAAGAATGTGTATAGGAGGTAAACCTGCAAAGGGTGGAGAGAGATGAATGCAAGGCCTTGCTCTTTGTTCTGACTTTTTGGTGCTTGTCATTTAACCAAAAGGACAAGACTATACATCCTCCCTGGCACTCACAGCTGTTCTAGAAGCTTCCTAGAAGAGTTCTACTAAACTCCAGATACAGGTCTACAAAGGTTTCAGGACCCCACAAACTACTGCAGGGTCAGTTGCAGAGTTCTTTTCAGATGCGCTAAGAGAGCTCACCCATTATAGGACATAATAGGAGAAAGCATCTGAAGCATGTTCCCTAAAAGGTTAAGGAACTAACAAGAAAAGAGGACTTGGCCCTAAGTGGACAAGTCCCTCGAAGTCCACAAGACCAGTTTGGTTTCCAGCAGAGGATTTCTGGAGCAGAAGACTGGTGCATTTTGCCTGCCATGCAGTATTTGAGGCACATCTAGGTGTATGAACCTCTCTGCTCAGCCCAAAGGCTACTGGCTTCCTATGGCAAAGTCTTTAAAAGAGACAACATGATTATTGTGAAGACTCGGCATTCTTTAGAGCAGGGACCAGGTTACCTTTTCTGCCACATGCAGAACTCCCATTCTTTCAGTGGGGGCACAACAGCAACTAAGTGATGTTCAGTGAAGACTGAACCAGGAAACCAGCCCAAACATGTAAGGGACTACCATTTCTGAAGAAATAGACAGTCTGGTTGATGGTGGCTCTCCATTCAGAAGGGGGCTGAAGAGGACTGGGAGAAAAGAAGAGAAGGGAGACAGACAACCCTAGGAGAAGGGTCCTCCAACAGGATGATAGACCTGAGGATACAAAGGCTGTGGACCTACTGTACTTAAGAAACTAAGCTGGCAAACAGGTGACTGGCAGTCATCAACGCCTGAGTCAGGTGAAACATGATCCTATCAGATTTTGCAGGTGTTTGGCCTTTGGGAAAGATGTTACCAAGGATCCATGAAGCTCTCTTTGCAGAAAGTTTTCTGAGCGCTCCATAAACGGGGATGCCAAGGTAAAGTATTAGGGTGAACAGAGGAACTAAGATTGAAAAATAGCAGGTAACCCCAGGGTGACAGGTAGGGAACAGTTGGAGCTGGTCACGCGTTGACCTAATAGGTTGGAGGAGGGGATCTGAGAGGTACCATACACCATGAATGGTTTATCATATCCCAAAGGCAAGGGATTTCCTTGAGGGAAAGAAGGGTGGTCCAAATAGGGGACAATTTAAGGCACCAAGTTAACACACGGGCTGGAGCACAAAAGGGATAAGGAGGAGTAGCTGAAAGGGGCATCAGAGGCAAAGGATGTGAGTGAAAGGGAAAGCCTTTTGCACCTAAATGCCAGAGAAGAAAAACTACCCAAGTGGAGGTATGCCTTGATAGAGAATGCTGACCAAAGGGCTTCGCCTCTCTCGGACTTCAAGCTGCATAAACTGTCAGAGTCAGGGTCTGAGGGCCCTGGGGGAACCTACCACTGGAGTAGATGACGGAGAAGGATGGAGTTCAGCCGACCTCTCCTTACACCTATGTTGATGCAGGAGTATGCTCAAGCACTCCATGGCATTGGCATTCTTGATTAGTGTAAAATTTAGGACTAAAAGAATAGAAGTCCCTTTAAGGCCAATTTGGTTAGATGGTTTTCATAAGTGGCATGAGTGTTTCAGCATCTTAACCAGAATGCTCTGCGCATCTGTATGGACATAAAACCTATGCAAGACACAAGTTTAGATGCTTTTAAAAAAGCCATCATAAAAACAGGACAAGGCTCCAGACATCTGCTCACATGCTCAAATAAGGAGAAGCGTATCCCAGCACTGGAAAGATCCTTTTGGAGGGAACTTTCCCATTCTGCCACTGTTATGCAGATTAAGGTAACTGCCAACAAAGGGAAGTGAGTAGAACCTGACTTATTTGTTTACAGTGTGAGTCGAAATCTGCTTTAAAAAAAAAAAAAAAAAAAAAAAAAGTTAAAAATTTTTTAACCCAGTTTTAAAAAAACTGGAAGCTAATTGGTTTCTCTGCAGAGTTGCACCAGATTTTTCACTCACTCTCTCCGGTTTTAGTAAAATCAACCCCACAGCAACTAGCCCAGACTTTAGGAGTCAAGTAATGGCCAATTCTAGCGTGGGAAGAGAGCCTCATTTGTGACAACTATTCTGACAGGCACCTTTTAAATATACATCAACCTACACTAAAGTAATCACAATTTTAAAGACTGTTGAGGACATCCTGGGACACAACAAACCTGTTAAAATGACATGTATTACCTGGCAACACAGACAAACACTCAAGCAGACATGTCAGACTCTCAGGCCCAGTGTCTGACCTTTAATGTGTCGGTCTGATTCCTCTTTGATCCTCAGGAGGTCCAAGTGCAGCTCATTGTTTTCCCTGACAAGTCTTGCATTCTCTGCCTTATATGGTTCTACCACAGAGTCAAAATTCTTATTCTCCTTCTCATTTTTGCTAACACTTAACTTAGCATTCCGAAGGCTTTCGGTAGTATGAACAAGGTCACTGTGAAATGCAAACAAACCAAAATGTCAGACAAGGCTTATATGGCTCAACATAAGGCAAGGTCATACAATAGCTTTTCGGATATGGAAAAATTGAAAATCTCTGCGCATACCGACTTTCATTTTATACAATCAATTACTTTCACAATACTGAGGTGGATTCTTGCAGATTTACAGTAACTTTTATAGTCAAGTGCATTACTCATTTAGCATTATCTATATGGATGTACCATCATTCTGGGATACTCTATGAAACAAGTTAGCAGAGGAATTAACTTGGTTAAATATTAATAAAGTAATGGGCCCTGATGGTATTCATCTCAGCGTTCTAAGAGAAGTTCGAGGTATAGTTGTTGAACAATTAATGGATCTTTTTAATTAATCTCATCTAACAGGAGAACTTTCCCATGACTGGTGGACAGCGGATACTGTACCTATACACAAAAAGGGCAGCATGGTAGAAGCTGGCAATTACTGGCCAGTGAGTTTACCATCAGTTGTAGTCAATTTAAGGGAATCACTCCTGAAAAGGATTGTTGAACACTTAAAAACACATAGCTTGCTTTACCCAAAAGCTTTACTGATGGCTGACCATGTCAGTCTAATCTGAATGAATTTTCTGACCATATCACCAATGTTTGTACCAGGGAGGTGCGGTGGACACAGCCTCAATTTTACAATCTCGATCTCAGCAAGACATTTAAAACAGTTCTACACAATGACCTAATACTAAGGTTGTACAAGCCAGGACTTCACTCTTGGGTTATTCAGTGGACATACAGCTGGCTAAAGGATAGCCACGGAAATGGGAGTGGGTACCATTCAAACCAGGTACCTGCTCCCACCACAAAAAAAAAAAAACAAAAAAAAAAAAAAAAAAAACCCAAACCCACACACACCACAACAAAGGCCAAAACTTAAAGGGGAAGGAAGACAAGCAGAACTTTCCCTTTCTGGGTGAAGTTCTGCTTTAAGGGCTTCAAAATGGCCATCAACAGAATCCCTAAGAGAGAGAACATCCACAATAAAAAACTGTGAGGTGTTTATTGAGAACTAAAATGGTAGGCTCCACTACTCAAACAGACGGTTTCTTTTTAAAAATCCTTTTCTATTGGATAAATATCAACAAAAGGTTTCGGAGGAGTGAAAACTTCACGGCATATTCAACCTCAGTGCACAACCTGTGGGTGTATGGGGAAGAAAGTTTTTAGACTTAGCCAGTCTTTTAGTACCCCTAGGGATCTGATTTGGCTGTGGAGAATCAGGTGCTGTTAGGCAAAGGCTAGTGTGCACTTAATTTGACCAAAGTAAAAAAAAAAACATTTGTCGCAAGGCCATAGCTTGTATCTCTTGAAGTGGTTCTAAAAGGTAGAACGTTTTTTATCTTAATGCACTGTCTGCCTTAAGGTAAAAAAACAAAAAAAAAAAAAAACCTTCCATGTATAGGATCTCACCCAGCTCCCCTACATACAAACCTGAGCCCGATCTTGATCCAGTGCTGTGCCCAGCGCCTTCCTCGGTGCTCTCTTTCCTCATTGGTCATGGAGGCAGCAGCAGGAGCCATTGGCGGTGTATGGTGCCCTAAGCTAACTACATGCATATGTTGTGGTCATGTCCTTCCACACAGTCCTACTGGGGGGGAGGTGCTTGCTTTAACTTTTACACTGCCTACTATCTGTGTTCCTCCCCTAGTAGAAACCTGTACATTGGGACTGGTTGAGGACTTGGCACATACAATAGCTGTGCGCACTTTGCATGGTTCATTACTATTCTATGCCAGGATAGTGCTACATTGGAAAACCTCAACTGGTCCCACCACTGCAGTATGGATGTTGCTTGTCAGTGGTTCCCTTATAGAAAAGCTACTTATTATTCAAGGTGTTCAAAGAAATTTAATAAAGTTTCGGATGTCTGGTTGAATCGAATTTGACAGCTGCTTAATGTAGTATACCCCCTACTAGACCCACCTCTTGCTTTGCTTCTACCTTTAAGATCTCAGCCTCATAGTAAAGTGCTAACTCCTTCTGAGGTGTCTCACACCTCCCAGCCCCCCTCTGACTACTTTCTCATGCATCCCCATGATATGGAGCATGACTATTCTAGGATGTCAATCTCCTTTTGTCTTTTATTTGGCAATCTGTTCAGGTCACCACCGAATGGTACTGATGGTTAGTGCAGTGTGTTACTGTTAGTTGGTTGGTAATTTCAACTGTTTTTTGGAGCCAGAGTATGCCCTACAGGCTCATTTTGTACCTTACCAAAAGCTAATTAAAAAAAAAAAAAAAAAAAAAAAAAAAAAGCTAGGAATAAGAGTCCACATGTACAAGGAAACTGTCTTACTTTATCCACAACGCTGGGCCTATTAAGTGCCAGGTTTTGTTCATCAGTGGGCATAACCCTGAAGGGATCTGGGAACCATAGAAATAGACCATAGCCCTGGAAATGTATGGCACCCTGCAGCTAAATTCACATGATGCAATTCGTGCCAAGTTAAGAGCTTAAAGTATAACTAAAAGGCAAAACCTTTTTTTTTTTAATTTTTGGACACAATTTAGATGGATTAGAACACCTGACAGATTTTTAATGTTACCTCCACCGCCTCTCTATTTATTCTGTTTACCGTTATCATCAAAAGTGAAAAGTAAAGAAAATCCAAAATTTTGGGTTGTCCCCAGAACAGTAATAATGGGGAAACCTTCCAATGGGGACACTAGTTCTGGTGACCTGGAAGCCCCAAGATTATCTTCAAGCGTAATTTTACTTTTCTGAACATGTTACACCCCTATTTAGGGTGTAACATGTTCAGCATCGCCCCCTGATCTCCCCCACAAATAGTTCATTGATGCACAGGGATCTCTCAATGACGCGGTTGTGTGGGTCAAGTACGGCTCACTGCCACAATTCAAAGAGAGCGTGGCCGTGCGGGGCTCCGCCCACACTGCCGCATCACTGATTCAAAGATCCCAGTGAATCAATGAACTACAAGTACCAACAGCCTTTGCTACTGTTGGCTTGTAGTTCTCAATGAACTATCATGGCGTTGTGGTAGTTCATGGATACTCCCTGTCAGTGATTGCACCAACAGTCTCGTAAGAGTCCAGCATGGCATCAGCGATCGGCTGATCGCTGGTGCAATGCTTTCCAGGTTACCCCCCCAAAAAAGGGTAAATAAAACAAAGTAAATAAACATTTTAATCACCTGCAAAAAAAATGTGCAATTATTTTTTGTTAAAAGGTGAACTTATCCTTTCCTCTCACTTCCTGTTTTGGCAATGGGACAGAAAGTATAACTCCCCACCCCACCCACTACTTTATCCAAAAACACACACACTCTATAGTTCTACTTTAAAGTGGTTGTAAACTCTGTTTTTTAATTTTACCTACAGGTAAGCTTATAAAAAAAGCTTACCAGTAGGTAAAATGAATATCTCCTAAACATGTACCGTTTTATGAGATATTCTCTCTTCATTTATTCTGGCACATGCACTCTGAAGAAACTGCATACCCGTACCATTCCTTCAGAGCTGTATACCATGACATGGGACTCCCGCGCGCATGAGCGGGAGCAACGTCATCGCAGCCCGGCCTATCAGAACGCAGCTTGCAAACCTAGAAGCAAGATGGATGAAGATGGAAGCCTCTACAGCGGTGACAGCTCACGGTTAGAGGGCTTCGTTTTAAGGTAAGTTTTACATAATGCGCTAGTATGCACATTTTATGTCTGCGTTTTACTACCGCTATAATGCAAGCTCCAGTGCCAAAAGTGCTCCTCACACATACGGTGAGAATAACTGATCCTGCAAGGTAGTGCAAGACAATAAGCAGTCAGATGTTGATAGAGCCGGATTATACAACTTTATTGGTTTGAAAAAGGAAAACAAAAAAAAAAAATATGGAGCCTTACATAGTAGGCAGGGTTATACTGTATGCTCTAGAGGTGGTCCTAGCAAAGGTTTTTGCCAATGTCTAATCACCTGAAAATAGCAATATATAATCCATGGTCTTTGCATACCAGTGATGTGCTCAGACATGCTTCAGACTAAGACCTGAATCCATATGTGCAAGCCCACCAGACAGCCGTCACGTGTAGGATGTCCCTTGTATACCTGCAACTGCAGGAGAAGGAATGTCCTGGACGTAGATAATTAGCCTCTGCAGCTAACAGCTTCCTGATGGGTTCACACAAGTGGGTTCGGATCCTAGTCTAAACATGCCCTAGCTCATCATTAATCAATACCAGTCCTTTGTGCTGCATGATTGATAAAAGGGGTTTATTTCCGTTTTTAAAGGGCCGCTTCACACCAAAACGCAGTTAAGGAAAGATGCATTCCATGTATGTTTCCTGCACTGCATTCAAAACACACTGCCATTGAATTCTACTGCAGGTGCCAATATGTTAACAGCACCCCAGATGCAGATGATAACAGTGCATTTATGGGCACCAGATTGCATGGTACCGCAGTACCATGCAATTTTGTGCAGCACGTTTTTTTTCAAAGGTAGACATGCACTTTTTGTGTGGCCGGTGCGATTTGCAGCCTATTGAAATTAATTGGCTGCAAGTCAATCTGCAGTGGAACACACAGGTGTGAACCAGCCCTAAAGAGATAAAACATAGTAAAATGTGCATGTATTGCAAAACTGTACTGCATGTTTTGTTTTTACATTTTGCCGAGGCATACACTAACAATAGATATCAACTGAAGTGGTAGAGCACAAAGTGAGATTATTAGAACAATGAGCATCTGTGAAATCATTACAGCATACATAGGACTTAGCATTATGAGCAGGTCACCCAAGACAACTAACAAAAACAGAAAACTGTGTTGATGGGAAGATACAGAGAAATTATAAAAAAAGATCAAAATGTAAATTTAATATAAATCCTAAAGCAAATATATTTGGATAACATTTTTGTAAACACTGAAGTTGGGCTCTGAAATGTAGTACTTTAAATAGAAATAAAAAAAGGAAAAGCACACAGAGATCTATTAAAA